TGTGTGTGTGTGTGTGTGTGTGTGTGTGTGAAAGAGACTGCGCGCGAGAGAGAATGAGAATGGCAAGATGTTTTTCTCTGACCTTCTCTTGAATTCTTGATTATTTAGCTAGTTGCTAAATAATGCATCATGCTGAAACCGCGCCCATTCCAACTCCAGCAATGTGGAAAAAGTTGTGATATGTCGCAACACGTGACATGATGTTGCGGAGTTTGACACCCCCTGCTCTATAGCTTGAAAAATAATCTGTGCTTCCTTGAGTTACATAAAATTAGAAATGTAGCTCTGGCAAGTCTAGCAAGAATTACACTCTCCCTAGAACAGCTGCTCTTAAAATGATGAATGGTCTCGAATTAAGGCTAGAAGACACTTGTTGTAATCCTTGGATGTGGCAGGAACAGGTAATCTTAAAACTACTGGATTGAGGGATGCACTCTCAGGTGCAGCTATTCTTTATCTCTTTCACTCCTTTTCTGTCTATTTGTTTGAGTACACATCATTCTCTCTCTGTCTTGAAATATTTGTTTGAAGGAAGGGAAAGTACCTTTTTCCCAGGGTAGATCAAGGGCCAAGACAGCTGTAGGCATATCTAGATCCACCAATGCTATTTTAGGAGGACTATTGACTATCAATGTTACCATTTTTAAAAAGCTGAATGGACAGGGTTTAAATACCTTCAGGACTTTCTACTCTGGGCTTGATCTATCTATTCTGCAAAAACTGGAAGAGAAACTTGTTAAGATCCCATCACTTGAGGAGTGCCACCTATAGGAATCTTCATGTTGAGTCTTCTCAGTGGTAGACCCGTTCTGTGGAACACTTTGTCCCTGATGTTCAGACTGTTAACCTCCTTATGGAGCTTCAGAAGAGTCTTGAAAATCACAGTTCAGGAAAGCATGTGGGGTTAATGAGGATTGACCTACCTCATTGCATAGGAGAAAGTATTCTGGGTGCTATGATTTTGTTTTAATGCTTTTTGTTGCTTGATATCAATTACTTACAGCTGTTTAATAAGTAAATCTGGGAGGAAGGGTAGAGAGAGAAGAGATATGAATGTAACACTGCTGTATCTTTCTGATTTACATAAGTGCAAGATATAACTTTCTGACTTTTTTTTTGTTCCATGTTTCATAGTTTCATTCACTGGCACCTATGTATTATCGTGGATCAGCAGCAGCTGTTATAGTTTATGACATAACTAAGCAGGTGAGCTTACTATTATCCCATTATTGACATTTATTCAAAAATCCAACTTAATAATTGCTCATTGTGTTTTTCTGTCAGCATCCTACTGTGCTGGCTTAGAGAACAATCCAGCATAAAAGTTAATGTCATATTTTCATAAGATTTTGAGATAGTATTAAATCAAGATAATTAGAAGATACATTATTTTCTTTTAATCTTTTAAACTGGGGTAGGCAATCTTTTGAGATTGAGGGGTTTTAAAGATGACACTAAGTGTACTTTGGGACACTACTTTTTACATTATTTCTGCTGAATTTCAGCAGACATATTATTAAATGCTCCAAGGGCTGTAAACAGATGTTTTTGTCCATCGCTCACATAAATGCAGTGTGAACTTTGTTGTGTCACTTCATAAAATAGTCAAA